AGATATATATAATGCGAATTAAATATCTATTAATAACAAGACTGACTCGACTCCAGTTGTGTTTTGAATGGTGAATCTTTAGCGTCATAATCCCTAGCAAGCAATGGCGGAGGTGGTGGCAGACGAGCCTTGAATCAAAAACAAATCTTTATGTAGCTTTTTTTGGCGTCTAGGAGGACTAACATATTATGATGACCAGGTCAGTTCAATTCTATAATTATGTAGAATCTTTAGAAATATGAGTTATTGTTTATGAATTTGTTATATATGAATATCGTCACTTTTTTGTGAGTGAGTGGGTTTGTTGTGGTTAATTTTTCTAATTATTATAATTTTTGTGTCATGGATTGAAGTATTTTGATCCATTAGCCTTATGTTAGTAATGGAGGAGTACGATACTTATTAAGGTTTCTTTTAGGACAGAAGTTGTTTTAATTCGCCTTCTTGGTTTTTATAAAAATAGCGTTGATATCAATAATCGCATGCAATAAAGGTGATGTCTTTGTTACCATTGGGATGTTATTCTTAATTTTATTTTTAGAAATTCTGGCATAAACAGTGTAGCTTAGAACTTCGCTCAATTATTAAATAATTCTTGTATTCTTGACAGATTAATGATAATAATGAAGGTGTTTAAACTAAATTTTGTTTGTGTTTTCCTTGTTTCTGTTGACAGGAAAACATTACCATAGAAAGGAACAGGAGTAATGTGTTAGGCATTTCACAGCCGTTGCTTTGTGTTTACATTTTTATTTACATTATTTTATTTACATTTTACTGTATTTTTAACTTTGTGACACTATTACCTTATTAGCTAATCTGAGGATATGCCTTTTCACTTAAGCTTGCAAGATAGTCCCATGAGATAAGTAATTGGTAGAGATGATATTTGGGGATTTGGATAAAGTACAATACTACTGTAACAGTAGTAGTAGTTGTGGATTTAGTAACTTAAGTAGTGCTTAGTAGAATAGGAATAGGAATTATTGGTTTAAGGTGTGATAATGGTGAAAATATACCTTACAGTTTTTTTTTATATACAATTGTTAATTTGTAGCCATATATTAAGTTTTAAAATACAATTATCAGATCTCTCAACATGCAATCTATCTGCACTATCCATTGTGGTTTTATTTTATTGATTTTGTTTACACATAGATGGCTTCACAGGCACCTAGTCACCAGAGATTCAGTTATTTAGCCTAACTGATATCACCTGTTTAGATTATTTTTTGAATTTTGGGATATTTCTATTTACCTTATTTTGGTTATCATTGTTATTATTATAACATTGTTAATAGTGAATACATAAATATAAATGAAAACTTTTATCAACAAAAAAAGGGATGGGGTGAATACGAAGGTAGGCTCACCTTGGTGATGTCTGATACTGTTTAATTATAGAGGAAAAATTAGTAAAACAAAATGGGAAGTGGGAAGTATCAACAGGTTAAATATCAATTCATTGACAGATCCTTTTTCAAATATTCCTTATTTTACTGCTACTTTCAGTGTGAAATTTTCACAACCAGGTGGTGATGGCAGATGTGATTCAGTTTAGCAAAGAGGATCAGTCTTTTTACCACAAGAAAATGATTGCATCAGATCAACTGTCAGGGTAAGGCAAATAGTATGACAGACAACAATGTGGGCTTAAAGTTGGCATATTGTATATGTTGTTTAGCTCTTTAATTATTTAGTTCAATATTTATAGGCTAAGTTTTATTATTTCAATCAAGAGGTAACTTTGAATTTCCTCAGATAGATTAATGAAGTTTTTGTGCATAAATATGTTTTTTCTTTTTCATTTCAATCCTTTGCGAAGTTTAAAGATTAGTAACTGTAAGGTGAGCCCTAATATCTTCTTCCATTTAATATATGTGTTTTCCTTGGTGTATAATTTTATTGCAAGAAGTTGACTATAACCATTCTTTTATTAGCAGAGTGCAAAAGACCTCAGCAGGGTACTCATATAGACGTGTGCCAGTGGCCAGATCTCCCACCAGAAGGCTGGATGCTCTGAAGGAAAAGCATCAGGTAAAATGAGAACATGTACACTGAACTTGTTAAGTGTGTTTTGTATGTTTCTCGGATGTTACACTAGATGAGTCATAAGTATAAAAATTATTCCTAAGACACTAATATCATTTTTGTAACCAGTCTGTAAGATATATTAGTCTAATCCTCTTATACTTAATTTTTTTTGTGCCTAGTAATTTTATCCTTAAACTTATTTCTTGTGGCAGTTAGTGTAATGTGTAGGAACACATAAAATTAAGAAAATTATTTTATTGTAAGGTTGTATAAATGTTGCTGTCAAGTAACTAGTCTTTTGTCTTAAGAAAACACAACTTTATTGTTTTATAGATTTTGTATAAATGATACTAATGAAATAACCTTTATCCTTAGGATCAAAAGACCAGACTTTAGCTGGTTGGTATTAAACAGTGAATCAGTTTAGCCAAACTAAGTAACAGTAGTATAAAACATATCCCTGCTTAATTTCCTAATTGAATGTTAATGCCTTCACTTAGCTATACTTTCTACAGCTTACACACTAGCTAAAGGATAAATGCTTCCTTGAAATTTGTTTCAAAAGTAATAACAGTGAAAATAATTTTTTTGTATAATCTGTATTGGATTATTTTCTTTCAAATCTTACAACATTATCAATGTCCATATTATATCATTCATTGTTAGCAGATTTCCTTTAGCAACATTTAGCCTCTAAGCCACAGTTGTAGCTTACCAAACCCCATGAATTTATCTGGTACTGTTTAGCAATTTTCCTTCTGCTACACTCGTATATCATCCCCATATTTCCAAATTTCCTGTAGGCCTCCTCTCCTTTAACCTCATACTTCTTGTCAGTTCCAGTCATCATTATGAGTATGAGGTAGTAATGCTGCCTCTGTGTAGTTCATTCAACCAAGCCCTCCCTCTTTTCCTCCCCAGATTCCCAATGTTCTGTATCAAAGGGCTGCCTTTTGGTATATCTAGGGATAAGGGAAAAAGGGGTGATTTTAGGTCATACTTAAGAATTCCAGGGGCTACCTGATTTTTTAATAATATATGACCCCAGAACAAAATCGTGTGTGATGCATCAAAGAAAGTTATTGACGTGATGTGCATCTCGGCTGCTACTGCTATTAAGCTGCAATGTGGCAGGGAATATGGATTTAGTGGAGGTGAAGAGCTTAGTGCTACAGATCTCTCAAACCTTGCACCAAAACAGTTAGCTGGACTCCCCACCAGCAACCTGGTAACTGAGGGTGACTTGTCAAAGCTTGACAGAGGCGAGAGTAGCAAAGAGCCGGAACAGGAGATTTAAAGCGAAGAATATCAGGAACAACATGATGCTTTACAAGACAACTAAGGAGCTTAAAGTCACCAAAATGTCACAAAAAATAGCAATAATACTATTTAACCGTGAAGACACTTGGACAGCCAATTAGAAAGAAAGATTAGAGCAAAGCCTACAGGAAAAACTTATGAAGTGTGTAAAAGCAAAAGACTACACCAAGAAGCTGCTGAATAGCTGCAATTTTTGGGTTGGACCTTGTACCTCAGTTGATGAGCTACAAAAAGCCTTGAAAGAAAAACCAAATGAGCAAGAACTCGTATTCAAAACAACACAGCTACTATGTTCATACCCATAAGACAGATAAAATTGCACGACCAGCTTTGTACAAGATTAATGGGATTACACATGAGGAAAAGCTTATTAACTTGGCCATTTTGCTTGATGATGACATTGTTAGCCAATACACAATGATTGATTGACCAACTAATGTTGAGGTTATCTCTGCTCTTAATTCTACACAATATCAAAAAGAACAGGCCAAGGAAGCAATGTTTAAATTAAATGAGCTCTGTGTGGTTGTGTGGCAAAACTGTGATTTGAAATATGAGTGGTTCATAGCATATGTAAAGGGTGTTGATGCCGATAAGTATACAGTTGATCACCTACATTGTGCCACTAGTCGTTCTGACTGCAAGTGAAAGGATCCTCGTATTGAAGTTGTCGAAGAAGCAGAATTGGACCAAATTATCAATTGCAGTGTAGAAGGGCGCTGGGATATTGCACTAGACAAAAGAAAGAGGCTATTTACATTGAACAACAGCAAAGCAATTGATGCTGCATTTAAAAAAAAAAAAAAAAAAAAAAAAATTACCAGTATTATCATTATAATGACAAGTAATTCTGTTGTTTTCTGCCTTACTTATTAACTATGATCCTTATGAACTATTATATTCACAATCCTCTTGAAATTTGCAAAGAAATGATGTATTGGAAACTTATTTTGTCAAAATTTCCATTTTAACCAACTTCTGCTTGGTTTTTCCTGCTGGGTAGGTTTTCAGGGCAGCAATTCTTGATTTCTTTTTTTATTAAAAGTCTTTGAAAACATGACCTTTTATCCCCTATCCCTGTCTTTGATTATTTGTTTGCTTTTCTCCTTTAGATTATCTAGGTGCAGATAAATACATTTATATGTTCATTTTATTATTTCATGTGATAAAAGAAATACTCCTGCTGCTTTATATGCATTTTCTTTTAGTTCATGGTAATTTCCCCTATTTCCATTCATATGCAAAAGGCAACTCTTGCTACATTTTGAACTTTCCATGATGGCTTGTGTGGTTATGTATTTTATGTATAACAGTGTAATATACATTTTCTTATCTGCAAAATCTTCCCAGAAACCAAGATTTGCATTAGTTATGGAGAAGATGTGATTGTTGTGATTAGTAGAAAAGTGGCAGACAATGTCAATTTTTTTGGTTGAGATTACAAATGTGTCATTCATGGCAAAGAAGGAATGGAAAAAACAGCCCTCTAGTGTTTGATAATGATGAATGATGAATGGTGGAAAGGACTCAATATGAAAAATATAATGCATCAAAGAATTATTGTGGCAAACAGTACTTTAGGGGTTAATGCTCCTTGTGGGAATTAGTAGTAACAACTATATTGGTTCTTGTTTTTACTCCTTCTTTAATTTCTGTTTGTAATGAAGAGAGAAAGGAAAAGTATGTGCCAGATTTCATATTCATTCCTGAATTTCAGATGTTACTGGAGTCCATGAGAAAGCAATTTAATATGGAAGTGAATGTGGATAGAGGAGAAACAGAGCATCTTGGAGAGGAATCAGTGAAAATTGCCAAGAAGCAGGTAACTTCTGCTAGAAGTTGCAAACCCTTACCCCCTGGACAAAAAAGTGAAGCCCAAGATGCCAACATGACTGAGAGAGAAAGCAAAAGCAGCAGTGAAATCCAGTTAGACTGTTATGTCAAGCTCATCCCACTGAGAAGTAGTCCACGAAGAAATACAAAAAGTACAAAAAAAGAGGAACAAGTAAGTATGCAGCTTATCATGCCATTAATTAAACCAATGCTGCTAGGGATGGTATGTATGAATATGCCATGTGAGTTTAGTTTATTAATAGATTAATTAGTTTCATAGATGGCTCCAGAAGTTCTTAGTCAGCTATGAGACAATTACTAATACTACCTATCTCACCTGTTTACCCCTTTTCCTTGGCTTTCAGAAATGTTTTCATGTATCTTATATATCTATTAGTAATGTTAGTAACATTATTAGAATTATAATGTCTACAATGATAATAAAAGTATCAATAATGATAGCATTTGTAAAAAGAAAAAAAAATCTGAGTGAAATCAGGTGAGGTTACAAGATCTGTTAATTGAATCTTTGTGGTTAAGTACTTGTGGAGCCATATTTATGTAAAGATGTTTAAAAAAATAATGTTTCAGTGATCACTACATTTTCTTGCCAACATTGGGTTAATCAAGATCCTGGTTAGTTTTGCTATTGTTACAGATCATAGTGAAGGCAGATTCTGGTAAAATAGCATCACAATAGCAGTTCCTTTGTGAATCGAAAGAATAAACACTGCTTTGCAGCATTCAAAATTAATTTAATGTATCTTAGGCTAACTTCTGGTATGTCTGTAGTAGACTGTTTACATTCTGTAATAATTGCTAGAAGTGCTATAATTGCAGAAAAGCTTAAATACCATGCCACATTAATAAAGAAAAATTATTGTGTTGTATTGTTATTATTATTGTCATCACCAAGATAAAGTAAATTAACTTTTTAAACCAACCCATTGGTAATAGGTACGTGTAGTGTAAACTTTAGTTTTTTGTGAATTTTGTTGCTCACGGATGGCTCCACAAGTACCCAACCACCACAGTAAGTCAATTTGTAGGCCCTAAGGGACTTGATTTCCCCATTTCTTGAGTGAGCAAAGTTCCTCTTAAAAGTATTAACTTTTAATGGCCAAGAATTGTTTATGAGAAATTCACCTAATAGTGATAACTTTCCAGGTATTGGCAACAGAGACTGTCCACCTAGATGTACCAAACACAACTCCACAGTACAAGAAAATGGCAGATGTAGACCAGTTTTCAAAGTAAGTGCCAGACACTTCACTTTCTTTTCTCTAGTTTCTCACTATCTCTTGTCTTATTTGACATGTTTTATTCTTATATCCTTTATTGATTTTCAGATTTGTTCCCTTTCTATCTCCCTTCAAATTCTAGGGTAACCATTGTTGTTATTAAGCAGACCATGTTCTTGTTTGTTTATCTCTCTATCTAAAGCTAAATAGGGACATGTTAGAAATGGTAGAAAAAGGTTTCAAGTAGCATCTTAGTAATTGATGTATTATGGAGTTGGAGTCAGGAGGATGGAGATTATTAGAGGTGAATGTTCTTTTTCTTCATTTTGATATGAAGAAGAAAATTTATAGGATACAGAACCAATATTTGAGAAACCAATAATTCATAATAACCTTTCTTTAAGTTTAAATAAAGTGTATGTATAGTGTATTTATTTAGATATTTTCTCTGGAAGAGTGATGTATACAAAAGTATCTGATTATCATAAACCTTTTTAAAAGTAACCATTCTTTCTCTAGCAGATTACCAAATGCCTCTGCAGGGAATCCACATAGACGAGTGTTAGTTCCCAGGTCTGCCACCAGAAAGCCAGGTGCTCAGAAAGACAAACAGGTACAGCAATAGTAGTATGCAGGATTACTGAACTCTTTTGCTTATGATAGATGTTTTCTCAGGATTTTATTCATTTGGGTTATTATACAAGTCAGTAGATCTTTTCCTAGATGATCCATAGAATTTAACCCCTTGCTGACGGGTCACATGCTGAGGCGTCATAACAAACCGCTCAATCTGTGGAGTGTGGCTGTACGCTGTGGTGACACACCAAAGCGCTACAAGCCAGAGGTTCGGCATGATGTACCGAATTCCCACACTCTAAGTCGGCTCATTACCATTAATCTCCAGAGCGTAGATTTTTTTTTCTCTCTTTTTCTTCACCCATCATTAAGGGGTTAATATATTCAGAATTGCCTAAACAGACAAAGGAAAGAAATAAGTGATAGTATCTTCTCTTATTTTTGTTTCAGATGTTATTAGAGTCAAAGTCTGTTGATAGCAGAGAGACATCCAAAGAGGGTCAGAGGGAGAAAGCAATGAAAATTGACCAAAAGCAAATAACTTCATCCAGAACTTACAAACCCATTGCTAGTGGACTGAGAACTGAAGCCCAAGAAATCAACAAAACAAGAAGAAATGTAAAAGATACTGGAAAGAAGGAACAAGTAAGCACTATGAGACACATGTATTTCTGGAATCTTTATGGTGCAAATATTGACATCATTAGAAGGAGTAAATGATGCATCTCATTAAGGGATGCAGCCAAGGTAAGATTCATTACACTGGAAGGATATAAAGGTATATTAGACTTAGTTTACCTGCCCCAGTCAGGTTTAGTCAAGACCTTGGTTAACTAAGATAGTAAGGGAACATTAATGAGAGTAGGAAAAGTAAGATTATATACTATATGTAATTTCAGCACCAAAATAGACATGCTCTAATCAAAAAAAAAAAAAAAAAGTTTTGATAATGAATTAATAAAGTAAAATTTGTTGTTTGAAAGCATAAAAAGTAAATTTAAAACACTTAACTTCAAAAGCTTCCCTTTCAATAGACCAACATTCTATTTGTCATCACTGATATTATAATCTTTTAATGATGATGAATATCATCATGATCATTTTATGTTATCTTTCTTAAACCTGATGTCACATGAAAATGTAGTGTTCACTAGAGTATTGCTTTGTGAAATGTCTCTTCACATAGATGGCTCCAAAAGTACTTAGTGACATAGGAGTTAAAATGTGACCTTACCTGATTTCACCTTTCCTTGAATCAATAGAGACGCTGTTATATTTATGGACATTACTGTCGTTATAATGTTATAGACATTACTAACAGCAAATATGATAGGTGAATTTTTTTTCCAAAAATCATGGAAAACAGTAAACAGGTGTGATAGGTAGTACTAGTAATTGGCTCATAATTGATTTAGTACTTGTGGAGTCATCTATGTGTAAAGATAATTAATAAACTGAATTCACAGTGGGCATATCAAGTACATACATGCCATCTCTAGCGGCATAATTATTATTTAGAACTTAGACTACTTTTTTATAGCTTTAACACCCAGCAATATCAGTTATTGCAAGTCAAGACACGTATCACAGTAGGTCTCTTATTACTAAGATTCTACCTAGGCACTGTTAGTTGGGTCAAAATTTCTAGCAACAGTCAACTTATCTCTGGGTCACGGAACTGGTTTAGGAATTCACACTTTAATGCTTGAGTCTGTTAGAAGTATATTCCCCCGTAGGACTTTGAAAGGAACTTTCCACTCGTGGTGTTTCACCCTGCTAGATGCATAACTCTGTATGAGGCTCTCATGGCACACAAGTATTATCATATATTTGTTTGTCATTAATCTGTGGCAACATCATTATTACTGTTGTTCTCATTGCTTTTATTTACTATTACAGTTGTCCCTTATATTCTTCTTGATACAGTATTGTCTTTCACAACCAACAAGTGTTTGACTAAGGATTAGAGAATAGGGATATTAGGTCCTAAGATTGGAAATTATTGTCAAATCTTTGTTCTCAGGCTGTGCCAACAAATACGGTGAAGCAGGATGTACCACATGCCCCTGCACAGTGCAAGAAAGTGGCTGTTGCAGAGCTTCCAAAGTAAGTTTTAACACTGATATTTCTTCCCTTGTTTTTGTTTTGTTTCTATTAACCCAATGCCACTGGGAAAATGTAGAATCCAGTATAATGTTATTTTGTGAAATATCTCTACACATAGATGGCTCCACAGGTGTTTAGCCACCAAGGAGTCAATTAGTAGACCTGATTTCACCTTTCCTTGAGTTAAAAAAAAAATGTTTGTTTGCTTTTACTGTCAGTCATGATCGTCATTGTTATGTACATTAGAATTATTATAATGTGATTATAATGTGACAATACTAATGATATAGGTTGTAAGTTCTGATGCTCTTGTATTTCACAACCAACAGGGTTCAAAACGCATCAAGAGGACAGATATATCGTCAGTTGCCTAAAACTGTAAATTCTCTTGCAAAAACACATCATGTGAAAGAAAAGCGTAATGTAAGAGCTCTAAATGTTTTTATGTCTTTTATGTAAGTTTTTTTTTTTTTTTTTTTTTTTTTTTTTTTTTTTTCTCCAAAGTTATGAGAAATAATATTTATCATATTTTCTTTCTTTTTCTTCTTTTTTGAGTGCCAGCTATCTTGGGATGTAATAAGCTTTCAGTTTTGAGAATGAAATGCTAAGCATCTAAGTTTACAAATTGTTTCCTGACATTTGTATTTATTCCAGATTCTCAAGTCTATGAGGGAGCAGTTTAACATGAAACAACCAAAGAACGCTCAGGAAGAAGAGCCTGATAAGCTCAGCAATTGCAATGGAAAAATATTTGTAAGATTTTTAAAAGACCATTTATTGTTATTTCTTTTAGGTCTTGTTCTGTGGCCTCTTGCATAGTATATAGTAAATTTCTGTCATAATGATAAAGGAAAACCAGGCATATTGTCTGTATCTTTACTTTTGCCATT